ATTCAGGTAACTAGTTAAAAAGATCACAAATAAGATAGTCTTTCCCACTATTTTTGATTTTTCAAGATTCCCAGCATCAAGAAACCTTATCCCTTTGAGAAATGAGGCACAAATTGAACAGAAAGTAATAATTTATGGTGAAAAAATTTTTACGCCTTTTATTTCCTTTCTTGGGCTCTTCACTATTACTGTTAGCTTGGCTTATGACAGAGCTTTACCTGCTTTCTGAAATAAATGCTAAATGCATTTTGCATTTACTTGCATCTGAAATAAATGCATTTTAAAACCCAGTCTACTGCATTTTTAACTATTTAGCATTTATTTCAAATGCAGTAGACTGGGTTTTAAAATGCACTATTGTTGCTGGCATTTTGGGCTTTCTTGCAAGACCATGCTTAAATATATTCTGCTTCCTTAAAGCCTCTGCAAAAGTGGGGTATTATTGCTGTGTAGGGGAATTCACTAGCAAACACTGAATAAACAAAAGACCTACCAGCTATTTAAAATTTCAACTGAGGCATGAAGGAGTAAGCTAAGGTTTTACCCTAGAGTATAACAAAATAACATCTTGATTAATGTTGGCCTATGAACTGTTTGGGTATCTAATATTCTGTACTATTCAGGCCAGCTACATTCAGACCAGCTCAGCTTTTATCTTGCTCTAGCCTTGATCTTGTAACTCCAAAAGCTATTTGTATTCTCTGTGTGATACCATCAGCTGTCCCAGATTCCATGTCATGTCAGCAAAATTAACAAGGTTTTCAGATCTGTACAGCTCTGGTGTACTCTGTCTCCTGCCCCCTTCCAGGGATGGCATTGACCAGCACAGTGATGGCTCTCAACAGTTGCACGCATTTCTGAACTGTTCAATTCAGACATATTTTAGTTAACTCAATCAAATAGTTTTTGCTGCATGACTGTTAAAGTGATTTGCATAAGATCTTTACAGCCACCTAGTTTAGTGATTGTATATCTTTCACAGACTAATCACTCAACACTTAAAATTCTCCTTGTTCCACATTTTATGGAGGAGAAATAACTTGCTTGATACATGGGATTTTTAACTTCTGGTTAATTTTAGAAAATTTTAATGTAGCTGAATGCCTCTGCATTTAAATGCTTCAGTCTCCACTCTTACAAACCCATGCTGTTACTGAAATGGCTTCAATGGAAACCCAGGAGGAATATTTGACAGATTTTGATGGTTTACATTTTTTTTTTTTTAAGCTTAGACTGTTCACTTTATGTGCATTTTGATTTATTTTATTAAAAAGAAATTCCATAAGAATGGCATGGAATGTGTTTTGCAAGGCTGATGGCCTTATTAAGTGACAACAAAATTAAAATGTTCACTGTAATGAAGTAGTAGGCAGAGTCCAGCTCCCTCTCCAAACTGAATAAAAGCTTGGTCAAGAGCACATTATGCCATCAGAGTTATAGAATTATGGAATATTTGAGGTTGGAAAGGATCTCTGGAGATGGCCTACTCTAACCCACCTGCCCAGAGCAGGACAGCCTAATGTATGTTGCCCAAACCCTGTCCAGATGGCTTTTGACTATGTCCAAGGGTGAAGATCTCACAACATTGCTGGGCATTCTGCTCCAGCATGAGACCACTCTTAGAGTAAAAGAGCTTTTTTCTTTTTTTTCCTCCTTATTTTTTAATATTGTTCTTATTTATAATAAAAACAATTCTGGAAAAGTTGAAGTTAAGATACTGTTTGCTTTAAAGGAAAAAATCACTGCCTATGAATTATCTTGTCTAACCCCAGGCTTGAAGCTTAGTTTTGACACAGTTCACAAGACTATGAAATCACAAAAATAGCCTTCACCAGTTTGGATAGGAAATTACCCTACTGGTTCCTCTACAGGTCAATAAAATTGCAGAGAAAAAGTTTATCCCAATGTCTCTACCTAATCCTCCAATCTTTTATCAGGAACAGTAACAGGAACAGACTTGAAAAATGAGGTTCAAGTGTAAGTGTGCTTAAC